CACCCTCCTTCTCTTTGAAGTTTGGATTTTTTCTTCGAAATCTTATAAAGCAAATCACGCAGTTAGTTAGAAAATAAATCCATCCAACTCTTGGGAAGACAACCGGGCATAGAGTAAAGAGTGAATCCAAATCTTACCTCGTTGATCAACCTTACCCAAGCACGTGGCCATTGCACAAAGCTACCTTTTGCTTCCCAAAGTGTAGTAATCCCATCCTCCTCTACGGGCACCAAATGAAGAATCAAATGCACCATTATGTCAAAAAATGAGGGTGGGAAGTACATCTCAAATTTGCACAAAGTCACAACCACATCCGCCTGCAAAGCATCAAGTGTACAAGGATCAAGCACTTTGCTGCATATTGTATTGAAAAACGAACAAAGGCTTGTAATAGCTTCCCTCACGTGCTTCGATAAAATACCACGTATTACAATTGGTAGGAATATTTGCATCATAACATGACAATCATGGGATTTCATACTTGTCAGCTTCAATTCTCCATTTAAGGATACAAATCTTTTCATGTTAGATGCTTACCCTGATGGAACCTTAATGTCGTACAGACATGCACAAAACATCCGTTTTTCTACCCTTGACAATGTGTAGCAAGCCGGAGGTAAATAAGCCTTGTCATCCTTGGCTTTTCCCTCATCCATGGCCTTTCCCTTTCCCTTGCTATTCCCCTTTCCTTTTTTCGAACCCATTTCATTTTCCTTTTCCTGTTCCTTTCCCTTTCTAACCTTTTTCTGAGCCCACAATTCTGGACGAACCCCCATCTTTTCCAAATCTAACCGTGCACCATTTCTGTCCTTTGTTTTGCCTTGAATATTCATCGGCGTTCCCAAAAGTGCATCACACACATTCTTCTCCATATGCATTACATCAAGACAGTGCCTAACGTCATGTTCTTTCCAGTACGGAAGCTTCCAAAAGATTGATTATTTTTTAAAAAGAGCAATTAAGTCCGCAGCTTTTTCTGTTTTCCCAAATACTGTTCGTATACCCTTAACTCGAGCATAAACCTCCTCACCAGTCAGTGGCCTAGGCGCAGTCCCCTCTTCTGCTTTCCCATCGAAAGCCTTTTTCTGCCTATGGTACGGGTGATCGCGCCTGAGCAACCTTCGAGTCTGCACGTACACCTCTTTGTGACAATTATCAAGGTGTATGCTTGGGGTGTCATGAATACAAATGGGGCATGCTTTTTTTCCTTTATTCTTGTACCCAGACAAGTTGGCATATGCAGGAAAATCATTAACGGTCCACATAAGAGTTGTACGCAATGTGAACATCTCATTCTTATAAGCATCAAAAACGGAAACCCCTTCATCCCACATCTTTTTCAAATCGTCAACAAGTGGCGCAAGATAAACATCTATCTCGTTTCCAGGTTGCCTTGGCCCCATTATTAGTAGTGAAAGCATTACATACTTACGTTTCATGCACAACCAAGGAGGCAAATTGTAGATCACTAAAAGTACCGGCCATGTGCTGTGTTGGGTACTAAGAGTGTCAAATGGATTCATCCCGTCCGTGCACAACCCTAGCCTTAAATTTCTGACTTCATCACCAAATTTCCCAAACTTCATATCAATGTTCTTCCATTGCGAGGATTCGGTTGGATGCTTTCTGTTTTTCTTTCTTCCCTCTGCATTCCACCTCAAGTTTTTAGCGTCTTTTGGTGTTGAGAAAAGACGCTTAAACCTTGGAATAATGGGAAGATACCAATACCTTAGCAGGAGGTCCCTTCGTACCAGCATTGCAACTCATGCGCTTGTAGCGCGACTCTTGCATCGTGGACACTCCTCTAATTGTTCATATTCATTTTGATAAAGAATACAATCATTAGGACATGCATGTATCTTCTTATACTCCAAACCAAATGGACACATGAGCTTCTTTGCATAATAGTAAGACTTAGGAATTTCATTCCCGTCAAGCAACATCTCACTTAACGCGGTCAACAAAGAAGTAAAACTATTGTCCGTCCACCCATGCTTCGACTTAATGTTAAACAATGTTAGCACAGCTGATAGTTTAGAGTATTTTTTGCACCCAGGATACAAAGGCTTTTTAGAAGCCTCCGATAATGACTCAAACACGTCACCTTCAACACCACGCATCATCTCATCCACCCCTTCATCCTCGACCTCATCCACCTGATCATCCTCAAATCCATCCTCATCATCATTATCAATCACCATAATCAATAATATATTCATCATTCCTGTATTCCTCGTCCACACGAATCTCATTGCTTCTATCATGCACATCATTCCCATCAACATCCCCATTGTACTCTCCTTCTTCACTGTGCCAAATCCACACATGGTATTTAAGCCTAAACCCACGACAAACTACATGATCTCTAATGATATCAACACTATTGAGCACCTTCACATTATTACAATCAACACAAGGACAATAGAGGCAATCAACACCCATTCTGCGCTGATAAGATGAAGCCCTCTCGCAAAACTCTTGAACCCCATCAAAGAATTCCAATGTATCACGTCTACCATATATCCAACCACGATCCTTCTCCATTAAGTAAATTGTATCTAAACATAGCAACATATTACAAATAATGTATAATTGCTACATATATATTATATATGTAAATCAAATTCAAACACACACCATGCATATAACATTCTTATAGTAAAAAATGCATATATGCTTCCAAAGGGTCCTTATCACTCCAACCTAATCCATCCTTGAACGTGTAATCTCACTAGTGAATGTATGTCGACTTTCCAATTTTAAGGAAAATCCGGCAGCATTTCCCCCCAATTCTCCAAGTACACGATGTAGATAATTACTTATCCACATATGTACCCAAAGAACAAGGTTAGGAAATGATAAGCCAAGATGTTCCTTAAAATCAAAAAAAGAAGACATACATTCACCACCTAAGTGAGAGTAAACGTTCAAGAACAGTCCCAACCGGGGACTATTCAAGACTTTCTCCTAATGAGAAAGCCTTGAACGGGTATCTAGGCATATGATGATGCAAACATTTATATATTGTTGTATTTATTTGTCATTAAACAATACACAAGTTATAATAGCATGAAAAAACTTTCATTAAATGAATAAAGAAAAAAAAATATAGATTAGAAAAGTTTATAATTCATACCACTATAGCAAGTACAATGGATGTATTCCTTCTAACTTCCCACTTGAGCTAAATATGTAGTCTTCAAGCTAAACTTGTGCTTCAATTCACATATGAATCTATAAGAAAAAATAAAAACAAAAAACAAAAGTTAGTATAACGCATCATTAATCAAACTAACAATTGCTAATTACGAATTTTTTTAAAATTTAGAGTAATTAATGTAATTCCACTAAATTATTCACTAATTTATAACACAATTGCTAATCACTAATTCAACCACATTATATTTTACATTCCAACATTCAACTAACTTCACTAAGTTATCTGCATTTTAATGTGTATTAAGTTCAAATTAGACAATGAGCATATACAAAACTCTAACTATGAGCATATACATAAAAAAATAAAAAGAAAAAAAAAACCACCAACCCTGCCACCAACGGCCAGCCCAACCCCCTTCCCTCTAAGCGTCGGCCCCCGCCCAAACCCCCTTCTCTTCCCCCGGTGCCGGCACTGCACCCGACCACCCTCCCCTTTCCCTTTAACACCTCCCGTCGTGTAATCCCTCCCCCTCCCCTCTAAAAGCAGCGCAACTCAACAACCACAAGCCAACTCTATTCGCCTAGCCAGCCACCGCAATTACCACCACAGCAGTCCATGAAAATAGCTTCCCTCACCGTTATAGCAGCCCCACATCTTAAACACCTACCATCCCTGCACTTCGCGCACTCAACAGAGCCCGCAACTCCGCCAACAACTCCGCCAACAACAACAGCCGCAAATCAGCCACCGCACCGTAACAACCACCAGCCCGTAATAACCTACAACCGCTGCACACATAGCAGCCAGCAACACAGCCACTGCAACACACTAAAACTGCACCGCTAGTTTCGCCCACCAACACCACCAATAAGAAGCAGCGACAGCCTCAATTTTATGCTCCACTGCTCCTTCAATCTCACCGCATCCCCACAACAACCACCTGCAGTCACCCTCTCACACACTCCCACCAGAAATACCCCACAATCACCGCCCAAGTCACAGCTGTTGCCCACAACCACCCTCACCCACCCCACCACCATATACTATATACTGAATTCGAAAATCAAATCAACGACAAACCCTAGATTGCGAAAACTGAAATCGATAATCTAAAAAGGACAAAAACAAATTCTTACCTCGAAGTTGCTTCAATGGAGGTGAGAAAGCTCGAACCCGCTTCAATGGAGAATTAATAGTACGCGTAATGGAGGAGTGATATGGACAAAGCTCAGAATGCGCTTCAATGGAGAACTACGAGCACAGGTAATGGAGGAGAGATATGGAGAAAGGCGAAACTTCAGAGGTGGTCGAAGCTAAGAGAAGGGCGAAAACGAGAGGGAGGGAAAACTGAAAATGAAAAGCAGAGGGAAAGAACGAAAGAAAGAAAACTGAAAATGAAAAGCCGATTTTTTTTAAGTTTTGCACCGGTTTGAACCAGTGTTAAAACACTGTTTTCGCACCGGTATGGTTTGAACCGGTGCGAAATCCCTTTCTCCCTTTTTTTTTGATTTTTTTTTTATTTTTTTTAATCGCACCGGTTTAATAAGAAACAGTGCGAAAAGTATTTTTCCCAATCCAACCCATTTCTTTTACCACCGGTTTTCAAGAACCGATACGAAAAGTGCGGTGTCTATTTCATTTTTTCTACTAGTAGTATAACTTTAGTATGGTAATTATATTTAGATTGTAGCAGCTAGGGTAGCAAAAAATTAAAAGCCCTTAACCCAACCTTATACAAGAATTATTTTTATTATATATATGCACATCAAGTGAATGATTTTTGAAACTAAAGAGAATCTAGTTGCATCATGAGAAATTTGATCTTTAATTAATACAAGGGTTAGGAATTGAAATTAGATATTTCATTATCAGTTAATATACTCGACTAAAACATACATATAATATTTGAAAAATAAGCTAGTGATCGAGTTTTACGTACATATGGTTGCATTGATGTATTAAAAATCGAAATTGTTCCGATCCCTCGCTCTTCATCAGTAATAATTATCAGAAATAATGGGTTATTGATAATTAGTCCAAATGAATCAAAGCTATACATGAATATGATCTTGATTAATATGCAAGCAGTGAGAATTATTGTCGACATATTCTACTTGACCTTGTAATTGTATTTGTGTGCCAATTTTTTGGTCGGTTGTTTTATCTTCATCAAGTGGAGGAGTGTGAGTGTCATAATCATCCTTGCCTTTTCCCCAAATAACCATGTACAAGCCTACTACAATTACAATGGCACCAAATACCCTGCAAAATTAAATTTAATTAATTAGTCTCTTTGACGCATCTACCACACCCCACATTGTCAATTCAAGTCACACAAGTCACATTGCAAAAATTAAAGTAAATTATTCTTTTCTCACATTTTTTGTTTTTTTTGTTTTTTTTTGTAATATTAGTTCAACAAAAGAAATGGCTTATATATGGACAAGAATTAAGAACACTCCCAAGTCCCTCTCTTTTCCCTTCCCCCCCCCCCCCCCCCCCCCCCAACCCAAACATAAATGGTCCACATAAAAATGAAATACTACGTATACAAGGTTTTTTTCCTTTCCTATTCCGTTTTTTTTTTTTTTAAATAATTTCTCTTCTCATTTCATGGTTCCTATATTATTAATTTCTTATCCTAAGGCTTCTAAGATTTTGTATACCTACCTTGTTATATATTGTATAATTTATATACATCTATTTCTATTTGATCTTAACACTTATTCATAACACAAATAAGTATTAAGAAAGTGAATCAATGAGTGGGTTGGTTAAGAGATAGTGAATGGAAAGGTGAAAATATTGTGGGGTGCACGGTGTACTAATGTAAAAAGAAGCTGATTAGGCCAGAATTGGAATAAAATGAAAGTATCAAGAAGTTTTAAAAACAAAATAATGTAAAAGTGATAAACTATCAATATACTAGTATAAGAAAACGGATTTCATATATAGTATATATTATAGGTGTTTCATAATAATTAACACAATTTGACTTTTTCACTTTTAGTTTTTACTATAGTCTTTAGTGACATATTAAAAACAAAATGTTATTATATCTTTAAGAAATTACCTTCCAAGATACATCTTTTCCGCCATTAAGAAGGTGCTCAAAATTGCAACAATGACCATGCCCAAAGGACTGAAAGCCGTGACGAAGACAGGGCCTCTTTCTTTCATTACAACTCCCTGAATAAAATATAATAATCCCGAACAAAATATACCCTACAATCACAACAACGTGTACATATATCGTAAGTTAGTTTCTCTTGTTAATTGCTCACATTTTTATTGCTTCTTCAACTAATTATAAAAATAATTGTTAGCCAAATGTGACTATATTATATTGCTTGTATAAATAGTATCGATCTTATTATGTGAAATACGGTTTTTACTTCATGGCAAAGCATGGTCAAATTTATATTTTGTAAAAAAAAAAAAAAAAAAAAAAAAAAAAAAATTATGATAAAGTAAACAAACAACATCAAAATGATGAAAAGATTATTATCACATAATTAACATGGTGTGACCATTTCAAATATAAGGCAATAATAATTAACTAAGTAATAAGAAACTTTTCATTATGTGTCAACATATTATTCATGTGACTAAATCATATACTTTCGTATGGAGTACAACTTTTGTTATATATATAAAAGAAAACTATATTCACATTAACTTGTTTGTTTAGTTCATTCAGTTTTCATTTTAGAAGTTTGGAAGCGTATGTATTTCTTTTAATGAATCATAATACTAGTTTTGATTTTTTTTTTTATTTATTTATTTTTTTTCCATGTAAATTAGTTATTTTAACAAAAAAATCAGTTCAATCACAGTTTATTATGTAAGAATAAGTTCAATTAATGTAACTTTATTTTAAAATTTAGAGGGACAACATACACTATAAACTGCAGCTAATAAATTGGCATCCCATCCAATTGCCCATACATGGGATCTTCCCTTCTCCATAACAAGGGCAACCGCGGTACCTTCCAATGTGCCCAACAAACATATCCATGCTGTAAGAGATAACTCGACGGGATATGTATTTAAAGTTATAGCCTACATTATAACAAACAAACAAATAAATAAATAAATTTATGAATAAAAAAAGGAATTGTGACTTTATAATTAATTAGTTAGGAATGGGTTATAAAGTAGAAAGTATTGAATTATTGTAGTAGAAAATCCAATCATATACATCACCAATTATACATACCTGAAGAATGACAAAAGCAGCCCAACTAAAGCAACCAATAGTGATCATAATGGAACCTTTAATGGCGTCATGAACACTAATATCTAGTGGTTTTGCACCATGATCAGTTACGCTATTTTTTGACAAAAATGTAAGAGCTGGTCCTTTTACTAGTGTCATCATCATCGCACCACCAACGGTCGCCACCGTTCCTACTATCTTTGCTTGACTACGGAGGCTTCTACAATTCACCACTTCAAGTCTGTCCACAATAATAGTAGATAATAGAAAAGGTTACAAACATCCTTAGACACAAGGGGGATCTTCATTAAGGACACTTATCATAATCGAGTATGATCATAGGCGGAGCCAGCTAAGGACCTGGTAGAGGACGTGCCCTACCAAGCTACCACACGAAAAAATAAAATTGCATTAATTATAACCAAGATAACTAATAGTCTAGTGGTTAGAACCTTGATTTTTCCATAAAAGGTCACGGGTTTAATTTTCTTGCCTAACATTCAATTTTTGATTTTTTTTCCTAGTTTGGTTGTAATTTTTTTAATTTCACACTCGAATTATAACTGATATTTTGGATTGCTATTTGATACAAATATGTGTTTAGTGATTTAAAACTCATAAGAAGATGATTTTTTATTAAATGGGTCATTACTTAAAGTCTTGAATAAGCCGGGGTAACATTTGATGGATTTTGGAATACTACTTAAAATAAATTTGAATCTTGATATTAAGAACATTCTTTCACAATTGCTATGCAGTACGTAGTTATGTCTGGTTTTTTTTTTTATATAATTGTAAAGATTAAGAAGACAAATCTTAAGGGCTTGATAAGAGAATTTCTAGACGGTACGGTGTCCTACCATTGTTTAAATCCTGGCTCCGCCACTGAATATGATAGTCAGACATACTCGACACTTAATATAATTCATATATAGTAAGCCCTTAAGCTAGCTATTAAGATTTTTTTTCATACCTCATAATCCATGCCATTAGAAATGTTATTGCAGGGAGAATGTTACCCATCGTTGCTGCAAAAGTCGCAGACGTGTACTTCATACCCATGTAATACAGGTTTTGGTCAATAACAGGCCTAACAATGTAAAGTTTCATTTCAAAAATTCAATAATTAAGTATACATAATATAATATAAAATTTGAATATTTTTTAACTAAATAAAATAAATCATTTCATGAAAGAAATATTACTCAAGTAGACTTAGAAGCAATAACTTGATGAAAATTGATACGGTCATCTTCGGCCTTACTTTCCTGCACAAAGTTCATTAGTTTGTTAGTAAACTAATAGAACACTCCTCCATATATGCATGCTACCAAAAACTCCAAATCAATTACACTTATTTTATGCAAAGTTACACTTAGTATTGTATAATTTTATTTTATTTTCGTAATAACTCTCAATTTTATCTTAGATTAATGCACACAAGATAAAAACATGTTTGTTTTTTCTTTCAATATCATGATTATAATTTCTTAATTACTCATGCTAAGCGAGTTGAAGATGAAGGAAATCGATATAATTACTTGTCTAACACAAGAGCAAACGGAGCGATAATAATAGTAGCAACGGCATGGCGATAGACAACAAGAACATAGTTGCTCATTCCACGGTTGAGTGCAACCTTTGAGAGAATATCCATTCCTGCAAGCCCAATTTGGAGAAGTGTAACTGCCAGAAATGGCTTTGCTCTAATGTATAAGCTGCGAGTAGACTCCATTTTCTTTATTTTTTGTAGCTTATTACCAAGTAATACACTTATGCCACAACTTACTATATATAGTGGAAATTTTTTCATTTTTTGTAACATCTTTGTTACGTTGTTATATTAATAATAATTCCTCCTCTATCCACAAATAATCTAATATTCTTCTTAATTGTTAGATTTGGACACGTATAAAATAACGAATGAGTAGAGTATGTAGGCTAAAAACATGAGAGAGAAAATTATTGTGGAGGCCAGGGTCCGCATACATCACATGGGTTGAGTGTAAGGATTTTAAAAGTTTTTCTTTATAGACATTGTAAAATGAAATACAAAATGATTATTCATGGACACAAAAAATACAAAATGTGCTTTATGTAGTACTCTATTGCTTATTGATTGCTCTACTCCACCCCTACCTCAACCCCATTCATCACCAATAAGTCAAATTGCCATTAAGATTTAAGATTGAAGATTCCATTGCATTATTAAGGTTAGCAAGTATTATGAATAATGCTGCCTTAGTTGGATTTCCATTTATAGATTTGGATCATGTATGTATATCTTTAAATTATTTTCAATCTTCTGTTGAATAACTTTAATTTAATTTTTATTCCTTTTATGTAAAACCTCGGTTGCTTGGCATTAGCTAGACGTAGGTTTCTATGTCGACGCATGCAAATATTACAAGTTACTCCTTAAATACAAGATAATTTACATGATAGTTACTTCTAGATATTTTATTATAAATATAATTTTTCTATAATTTTCTATATGTAAGCCAAATTGCGTCTATAATTGATTTGATTTTGTAAAGCTGTTGAACAATCTTCATACAAATTATTTTATTAAGGGTGAGAAAACTAAATAGTTGATAAAAGCGAAATTTGATCATAAAACCAAATAACTAAAAGTTTGATAATTCATTAATCTATATGATACTGAATAATAATAGTCTATTTCTTTTTTCATGTGAGATAACAACTTTTGAAGTTGGTTTCAATTTTAGACCCTCCATATCAGACACGTTAACTTTTTCACAGTTAGTTATTAATTTTCTTACCAATCAAATTCATAGAACCCTTATCGTCCTCTTTTTGGCATGAAAAATTTTGTTAGCTCCTTATTTTTCTCTATCAACTAACCTTTATCAAAGCAAGCCTCTTTAAGCTCCTTAAAATGATGGTGCAAGGACCATGAAACCACAAATATCACCCATTATTTTCAATTCCCAGATTTAACCTTATAATCTAATATAATTGATCAAGAACTATTTGGAAGCGCAAATAGCATATCATTTTTCACATAACTGCTTTTAGCCCCTTTTCTATGGTCTAATTTACACTTTGTTTCGATTGAAGGAAATGGAGGGAAAAGAAGGGAAGAGAAAGGGAGGGATCGATTATCTTTTATTTTGGATAACAAATAAGGAAGGAAGGGAATTAGAGGGAAGAGAAATGGAAGAATTAAATAGTAAGAAATTAATCTCTCCAACAATGAAGAGATTTGAAAGGAAAACTCATCTTTCTTCCCTCCCCTTCCTTTCTCTTTCCTCCCCTTCACCTCCCTCCTCTTCTTTTCTTTCCCATTTATTTATCCAAGCACACCTTAAAGGAAAATAAGAATTATTATACCAACAACAATCTCTTTTTTTTTTTTTTTTTTTTTTTTTTTTTTTTTGGGAAATTTTCACTTTGGTGCACTAAGATTTTTTTACACAATTTCACTTTGGTGCACTAAGATTTTTTACACAATTTCACTTTGGTGCTTTATGTTTTCAATAATTCCATTTTGGTGCCTTTTAAACGTTGCTTCACGATGGTGCCCTATGCCCCTATGGTTTGGTATTATAGTTTTCTTCACTTTAGTAGTGCCATAAAATATTTATTACTGCTCATTTTTGTAACTAATTAAAAACTAACTCTATTAGTTAGTTTTATTTCAATATAAGCACAATGCACAAACAATTTGTCATTTGTGTCAAAGATGACTCTAATAACCATGTCTAATTTTCACATTGTATAAATATAGTAATTAGTTTTTATATATATACAAACTCTTAAATTGACCTGTTTCATTAGGATCAACTTATGGGGCAGTGGCACCAAAGGTCACCTCGCATTCTTGAGGTGCGAGGTTCGATCCTCACCAAAACCCCCCTCCCCTTGTATGTATCGCCCTTGTGGCTAGCTCATTTACACCAAAAAAAAAGGACCTGGTTCACACTAATTTATTGTGGACCAATAATATTATTGACACTATAGTTGTTTTATTAATTAAAAAAATTAAAAAAAAAAGTTATTATATTAAAATAAAGCTTATTATGTCAAAATAAAAATCATTGTGGCTTTATAAAGATTATAAGGGGTTATTTTAATTTTTTAATGAAATTTTTTATGTACTGATCAATATGAATAATAAATGTTACTATATGTTAAAATTAGGGTCACTATGTTTAACATAACATCGTAATTTAGGTTCACAATAATATTAAAGGTCACACAAGTTTTAATAAAGGTTATTACATATGTTAAAAATAAGGTTACTGATTAGGGGATTTTGCTCCCACCAATCGGAATGCGCCACGTGGGCCAATCAGGTCCTGCCAAGTGTTCCCCAGTTGGACCTCTCAAGGCTTGCCACGTGGCACACGCTTATTCGTCCGCCTTGGACCTATTATGTCATGACACGTGACATACTCCATGCCTAATGGAGAAGTCGGCCACCCAGGCCCAACTTCCGAGGGAGGCCCAATCAACCCAAGGTTAACCTAAACCTAGATTGGCACGTTTCCCGAGGTTATAAATACTTCCCTTAATCCTCATTAAGGGAGATTACGCAGATTACACACATAAAACTCTCTCACCTAGAGAGACCCAATCACTTTAATTTCCGCATTAATTACTCCTTAATCAAGTACTAACTTGACCGTCGGAGGCGGATCTCCAATCATCCGGAGCATCTGTTTGTTTTGCAGGTACAGGCGTCCGGTTCCAGTCTCGGAATTGTAACTCTCCCGCAGGACATCAGAAAACCCCGAAACATTTTGGCGCCGTCTGTGGGGAGAGTACTTCTGAGATGGCATCCACGTTTGTACCGGCTCCTGAAGAGAGACGTCCCCTGGACGACCCTTTAGTTCAGTCGGACCACGATACTGAGAATGAATTTGAAGTTGAAGCTCACACAGCTTCAGACGGGACCCTAAGGGCCCGACGTACCCGTCATACCGAAATGAGGGAACGGGAATATCTTCAAACTGGAAGCGAGCCAGCAGGCGCACCGCCTGTTCGGCAGCAGCCGACTGATGGGTCTGCTCCCATCACAAGGAACGAACTCATGACCTTCATGAGGGACTTCAAGGGAGAAATTCAAGAGTTGATCAACAAGAAGCCGCCTGCTCTGGACAAGGAGCAGTCGGCTAAGAAACCCTCCACTTCACAGAAGAGGAAGCCAGTTCAAGGGCGAGAGGTGACTCCTCATCCTAAATCTAGGAAGCGGGAGCCACCTGCCCTTGATTTCACAAAATACCGTTTTCCTACTCCAGGAAATAGGAAACCTGTTCGTCATATTCAGGCGGACGGGTCGAGGAAAACATACACAGACGCTCGGCTACTGCTAGAGCAGAAGAAGAGTGATCGATTGTCAGAGTCGGCCTCTACTTCAAACCTCCAAGACAGTCTGCGAAATACCTCGATGAGGCATACTCAGTCGTATCATGAGAGTCAGTCAGGCGGCACCTCCCGTCAGTCCGGCTATCATAGCGACCAGGCGGTACCAAACTTACCGTTTGTACCGCAACAACAGTATTTTTTACAGCCACCTCCGTTTGGTGGACATGCAGCAAAACACGTCCAACCTATGGACTGGCAGCTACGGTTGCTTAGACTTGGCGAACAGCCGTCGGCCTTCTCCAAGGAAATTACTGAAGCCGCTCAGCCGGCCAAAGTGAAAAATGTATTAGTAGGCGCCTATGACGGCACTACTAACCCAGAAGACCATCTGATGGCATTCACCAACCTGATGTACCTTCAAGGGTTGGATAATCCCACTTGGTGCAAGTGTTTCCTAGCGACTCTCAAAGGAATCGCACAACAATGGTTCGGCAACCTGCCGACTGGTTGTGTAAACAACTTCAAGACGCTTGCTTACTTATTCACCTCCAACTTCGCCATGAACATCCCTGCGAAGAAGACGACCCTTGATTTAGGAACAATTCAGCAGGGCAAGAAGGAGGGGCTTCGTTCTTACATCAGGCGGTTTAACCTGATGAGAATACAGATTCAAGGGTTACCGGATGAAGTAGCCTATACTGACTTTTTCAGAGGTCTCAAAGACGGGTCGACCTTCAAATTTGATTTGGTCCGAAAGAGGGTGGCGACTCTTCAAGAGGCCTTGATTGAAGCGGAAGCCTATATACAGGCGACTGATCTTTGTAGTACGGTAAAACAGTCAGACGGGAAAAGGTCCGACAAAAGAGAAGGACGACAGAAGCAGTCATCAAACAAAGACGAGAAGAGAAAAGAGGTATGGGCAACTGATTCCTCTAAACAGCCGTCCCAGAAGAAGAAAAAAGAATTCAAACCATACTCCCCAAAGTATGTGTTTAACAAGGATAGCCAATTTATCCTAAAGGAAATCAAGGGACGGATCTCAATTGAGAAGCCGGTCCCCATGAAGAGTTCTGCAAACAATCGGAACCAAGAAAAATTCTGTGATTATCATGAAGATGTTGGTCATCACACCAATGAATGCATCAGTCTCATGCGGTATCTGGACCGCCTGGCTGAGCAAGGTGATCTTGACACTTATGTCAAGAAATCTACGGGGAACACTTCCTCGAAAAAGCAGTCGACCAAAAAGAATCAACAGGCCGACAGCTCCGATACAGATGATGCAGTCGTCTACACACTTGCAGGCGGCTTCTCAGGAGGCGGCCCCACTATTAGCGGCAACAAAGACAATATCAGACAGTTAGATGTAAATTCCGTTCACCAAGAACGGCCCTCCAAATATTCATTTCCTGAGATTGTCATCACTGAAGAAGATCTAGGAGGGGTAAGAGGGCCGCATGACGACCCTATCGTTATTGAATGTAAAGTGGCCAACCAGAGAGTTGGCCGAATCCTCATAGATACCGGAAGCTCCTCAGATCTCATCAGTAGCAAATGTCTGTCGAAACTAAAATATCAGACTGATTGCATACATCCGGCATCCCAC